GGCAGCAGCAGAGCTGAAATGGGAACCCTAGAACTGGCTTCCAGTTCATTATCATTTTTCCTCCCAGGAGAAGTAATCCAGCCCTTTTCCAGGTCTACCTCATGTTCTTCACCATATGTTTCTATCCCAGATCTCTGGCCCTAGTCCCCTGCCAGTAACATCCTTTTGATATAGTCAGTACCTGTGGGAGATGGTACCCAGTGCCAGAAAATTAGGTTGGCTAGAGAATGTCCTTTTTAGAAAAGGCAAGTTCTGAGGTGTGCTGTGATGTCTTCTCTCTTCACGTTTTCAGGTTGGCTTCACCAGTGCCCCTGGACAAGGAGGAATCTTGGCACAGCGAGAATTTGATAGGAGATTTTCTCCCCATTTCGTAAGTTTTACAATGACTCTTTACGTATTCTGTCCTTGCCCTGGCATGAGAAGACATCCAGCCTCGGCTGTGGGGCCCCCCATACGGTAGTTACCAAGACTGCTTATCAGAATTCCTCTCTTGGATTGATTCTTGCTGTATCTACTCATTGATTGGTCGTGATGTGATATAACCAACAAGACTATCATAGACTTTATTGTGCTTGGAAATTTCAAAAATAGGAATTTAACCCCAAGAACAGAGAATTGCCCTTTTATTCCTCATCATTGGACAGTCTGTGGTTTTAGAATCCTGGATCCCATATAAGATTCAGTACTTTATGGAGAGTGTGGAGTTTATATTTCCTTCCCTAGAGTTCTTCAAGGCCTCATTGTAGTGTGGAAGTGACTCTGAGTTCTCCAAGCTATGCCAGTGTATCAGAGTTCCTAGCAATTTTCAGCAGGCTAGTAAATTGCAGTGAGGCATAACTGGACAGGGTCTGTTGTCTGAGGACCAGTCTATCCAAGAAGGCTTTGTTACTAGAACGCTGGCCAGAGGGTGATATATTTTTGGCCATAAAAACACGGGTGGAATATTTATTAATGTGTGCAGGGTTTTCAGCCTACATTTTTTGTACCCACACTTGGAAAATCATAGATTCTAGAAGCATTGAGGCAGAAAGATTAAAAAATTTACGGAGAGTGGTAGCTGTGTTCAAAAGCTCTAGAAGGAAGAAAGTTGATGTGATGGAGACCAGAGAGGGATGGGCTAGGAGGATTTCATGCAAGCTCCTTGATGGCAAGACTGTTTTTTGCATTTCTTTGTATCTGTAGTGTATGGCCTAGTAGGCATTTAATACGTGCTTGATGGTTGACTAACTATGGGAAAGGTTTTTATTGAGAGGAGGAAGTTGAAAATCAGGAAATCTCCTGTTAGAGCTGTCACACTGGACCTAAGGAGTCAGGAGGTAGTGGCAGCATCACTTCTTCAGAGGTCTTTGGGAAGAGCCATGATTTCTCCACTAACTGAGGTTGTATTAGATGCAGTCTAACAGATACAAAGGACAAGATGTCCTCCAGAGAGGACCAACCCAAGGCCCCAGCTGAAATAGCCTGAGCAGCTTTCTGCTCAAGACTGGTTTGATGGTTGGATTAGTCTACTCTATTCCTGTTAGATACATCTTCTCTTTATTCAGGCTCTAAGATTTCTGTTTTCTTCTACAGCTGGACTGGGCAGCATTCGGTGTGATGACCCTTCCTTCCATTGGTATTCCCCTTCTCCTGTGGTACTCAAGCAAGAGAAAATATGATACTCCCAAGACCAAGAAGAACTGAATGTGTACCCTCCCCTCCTAAGAAATCCAGGTGCTTTCCAGACTCCGAAGGATGTCTCAAAATGCAATCTCTTCCCTTAGTCCTTCACCACCTTTCTCCATGGCCATGCTCTCACACAGAGCAAAGGAACAGGCCTAGGGGCCCAAGAGAGCCTCTTTGGTGCAGTTTTGAAGCCATCCATTGGTTTTTATATAAACAGAAATACCCCAGCATTGACCTTGAGCCCAAGTGGCTGCCTCCTCACTTTGGGGCTGCTCGGTGCAAAGCTGGCATTGAGAACTTTCTCAGGGGTTCAGAAGGGGGAACTTCAGAGGCTGCCTGACCACCTCTGGAAAGAGGAAATCAGAACCACAAGTCTCTTGGAGGCCTCCTGGTCTGGGGGCAGGGAAGCGTTTACTGAAATGGGTTTTCTAATAAAAACAAACTCCACCTCAATTGTGTGTCTTCCCTCCACCCAGCTTGGTCACCTCAGCTACCAGCCCCAGGCCCTGAAAATCATGCTGCTGGCCAAGCTGTGTTGCTCAGCTCCTGGAGCTGTGGATCCTCATCCCAGAGAGATTTCTCCTCCCCAGAACCCTCCCTCAGGCTTTACTTTTTTCCATGTTGTTTTCTCATATCACTTGTTCCTGTTTTTCCTTCTTTATCATTAGCCCCCCCCCTTCTTAGCCAGAGAAGTGAGTAAGTGCTGTGATGGTCCAAATATCAGCTGGCCTCATTACCCCAGATGCTGAGCTTTGTTCTCTTAGATGGGATTTAATTTTAACTGGTTGCCTGCTTAGTGAAAAGTTAAAAGAATGGTAGCTTCTTTCCTCGTTTCCTCTACTTTTCTAGATCCCCTTGTCCAAGGCTTGATCTTCCTGAGTTGTGATTCATTTGTAATGCCTCATTGCTCTGAGCCAGGGCCCAGTGAAAAGTGCTGAAGCCCCCTGGGTTAGCATGCTGTAATTTTCAGCCTAGGGTAAAAGAGTGACAGAGAAGCTGGTTTTTGCTGTAGCAGCAAAGTGGGGAGAAGCTACCCCAGCTTGATTCTGTCCAACCCAAGAATGCCGTGGTCAGAGAACAACCTCCCAGGCGGGAGGGAAACCCAACAAAAACCCGCATTGTTCCCGCCACGGAGTTTCCCAGTTTAGATTCTGCTCTCCCTGTCCTCTGCCCAACCGGTTTAACCTTTCACTCACCCAGCAACCAGAGAGTCTCTCACTCTGAAACCCAGGCAGGATGAAAAGGACATGGAGGCAACGGGAGGCCAGGAATGGAATAGCTCTCCACCAGCTCACCTCCCTTTTCCAGGAGTTGCAGCTTGGACACCGTAGGAATGGCCAGGTCAGAGGGGTATGAAGCACGGGTTTGGTTTTGGCAGTTGTAATCTTGGTTCTTCAATTAACCGGCAAAAGAGGACATCAAATGCTGCTTGGGCTTCCCAGAAGATAGGGACATGGTTAGAGGAGAACGACAAGAAGTAAGGTTAGTCCAATGGAAAGGGAGAGAAGAAGAGCAGGTTTGGGGTCTCAGTAGGGGCTGAGGGAAGAATTATCATGGTCTCTAGGTCTGAAAGAGGAGGGAATAATCTGCTGTTTCCCATCTTCACAGAGGGCATAAGGAGAGACATCCTTACAGAAGGAAGAATTCTGGTTAGACATTAGAATAGGTTTCCTGGTGCAGGGAAACATTTCTAATGTTGAATCAGTCTGAACTAGATGTACTTTATTGCTTAAAAACCAAGGGAGGCTTTCATAAGTACCTTTCCTTGAAGAGCTCAAAGTACTTTGTAACTTAACTCTTCATGGACAGAAAAAAGATGATCAAAAGGGAATTGAAGACATGTGACCCAGGGTGGCAGGCAGGGGAGGGAAGTCAGCATTCAGTGTCATAGTGAGACTTCATCTCTTGGAAAAGTCTTCCTCAGAGCCAGAGTGGAATTTAAAACTCCCTTGAGTGGTGAGATGGAGCACCTAAGAGTCTCTAAAATCTATAGACAGAACAACTTAGCTAGAATTCTTGGCTTTTGGTCTGAGCTTTCAAAACTACTTGAGATTGTTTGAATGAGGTGGAGGGAGGCAGGAAGCAACTTTTATTCACACCCAGAGTGATCCTGGTGGTATTTGAATTCTGATTTCTTGAGAGCTGGGAGCTTGGGGAGAAGGGAAGGTTAATACAAGTACCTATCCTTCGTAGAAGGGCTCCTCTGTAAAAGGCAATGCAGCTAGCAGCCCATCTCTAGCACTTCTGGACCCCTTTTATTCCTGTACCCCATCCTCACTACTACATCATCCATCCTCACCCACAAGCCAACTCTGGTATCAGGAGGAAAGAGGTCCAAGGACCTCCACCCTCTGTTTACTGGGCTTTGGAGCTGTGCCTAATTGGGGGTAAAAGGGAAATATGGACAAAACTTTACAAGGAGCTGGAAGTGCTGGGTAGGTGATCTTCAAGTAGTGATGGACACCAACTAATAGGGTATAAAAAATACCCGACCTGGGAGATTGGAGTTTAGTTCTAACTGTATGATCTTAGACAATGCATTTAGCTTCTCTGTGCCAGAGTTTCTTATCAAATGAGAAACTTGGACTAGATGGCATTTAAGGTCTCCACCCTGAACACTGCAATTCTGTCCACCTCCCTCTCGTAGGTCTAGGTCAGTAAGATGAGGCAGTAGCTTTCCTTTGTGTGTGCCTGTAGCCTGGGAATCAGCCACTACTGCCAACCCCCCAACCCCAGACCTCACTTGTGGCCCCGGGGGAGAAGCAAGAGGACTGACTCCTGGTCAGGCTGTTCCCTTCCCCCAGAACTTGTCCAAAATGTGCCAGGGGTGGGGATGGGGGAGTGAGTCAGCCCCTTGGAGTGGTTATCAGGGAGGGGAGCTAGTCAAACATCCTCCCTACGGTATCCACAACAAGCTATGTGACCATGCACTAGGTCAATCCTAATTCCTGCTGGCTGGAACTAGGCCCTGCCCAGATGCAGCAGCCCCAGCTATTGCTCCTCCCTGTATTTTTTTTTTAAATAATGAAAACACTATCTTTCCTCTCCAACCATAATCTTTCTCTTAAAGGGACAGGGCTTATAAACCAAGTGAGGTAAGGCCAGAGACATGCATCTCTACCATATTGTAGTCTTGCTTGTGGTGGAGCAGTGAGATATAGATGTGGCTCCCTTTCCTGAGGTCACCATTTCTAATCCCACCCCTCTTTAGCCTCCCCTTTACAAGCTCCACCTCTTCCCTCACTAGAGTGAGTTCCGTGAGCAATCTCCAATCCACTCACCGCCCCAGGTAAACGTTTCTTGGCTTTATGTATGGTCTGCCTCAGGCAGGCTTCTTGGGCTGCCCTTTGCCCAGGGAGTGCCCAGGACAGTGGACTCGGGAGTTCTCAGTGTAGTGGTGGAATCCAAGGGGTTAAAGGAGTCAGGCCCAGTACTGTTTGGTGTTTGTAAAAGTACAGATAGTAAGGGCAGGAGGAGTTAAGTGGGCACTTAGTTTGGACTCAAGCAAGTCTTCCCACCTCTCTGCCCTTGTTCTGGGCAATTCTTTGGACCATGAGAGACCCTCTTACTATGCCCAAGAGAAAGATCCCCAGTTGAGGTGCTGAATTGGACAGAAACCTGGTTAGGCCACCTGAAGAGAGAATTCCCTCCTGAAGGAGCTCATCAGCAGGGGGCTGGAGTAGGTTCCCCGACAACGGTGAGTTTGTTCCTCCCTTTCCTCCAACCCAGGTTCCTGGTCCAAAAACAGGGGTAACTAGAAAAGTGGCAGCCTTTAGGAAGCACCCTGATAAATCACAACCTTTTGTCTCCTCATTGGCTTTCACCTGTCTCTAATGTCCGGTCATGCTTGTGGGGGTATGTTTGTGATATACGCTTTCTTGCTCAGAGCTCCTCTATCAGCCATCAAGCCATTTGCCCCTCCCCCCAAGCAAATATTGTCTCTCCTCCCTGGGGAAGGCAACAGAGACCCTGGTCTTCCAGCTCCCATGTTATTGTGCCCCTATGACTTGGGGACCCCAGCCCTGCTTCTAGCTGTTCTCCAGAAATTTTTTGGAGGGGGTAGTGGAAATTCCATTCTCGGGTAGCCATTCCCTGACCAAAGTCTCTTCCTCCTGTGTGTGTGTCCTACTGAACCTCAGGCTGCCCTACCCATTTACCACTGTACTTAGAATCAATGCCAGGAAACCAGCCTTAGATGAACGAGGACTAGGCCTTTTCCTCTCTTCCCCTCAACTTAATATGCTCTTCTGTGAATACTTCCATGCCTGTCTCTTAGCTCCTTGTAGGGGAATTGCTCTCTCAAGGGAAAGGTAGCTATGGAGTGGTGGGAACAGAGATGGTTAATGATCATAAGGAAACTGATACCCACAGTACTTTATAGTTTACATTATCTCATTTGGACCTCACAACATCCTGGTGAGGTAGGTAATATAATTACTTTTCCTCATTTTGTATATGAGGAAACAGGCTTGGATTAAGTGATTTATGCCTGGTCACTCAGCTAGCAGTTTTCAGAGATGGGATTTGAACACAGCAGGTTTTCCTGATCCTAAGCCCAGCGTTCTTTTTACCCTGCCAAACTGCTGCTTATGGTGGAGGGGAAGAAGCTGAGATGCCTTGGCTTCTGATCTGTTATAGCAAGAGAATGTTGTGTCTGGTCTTAGGAGGCTAGGGATACTGTGGTACCTTCCTAATAGAACTGAGATTCTGGGGATCACTGCTGGAGAGCTGGTGACTGACTCTTCAGTCTGACCTTAGAGTGTATGAGTGGGTGGCTAGCAAAAAAGCAAGCCTGGAAACTGGTATGGGTGGATGGCAGGGGTACTTGCTACATCCCCAGTCTTACTGCCTTCCAGGGATAGTGCCTGTGTCCCATCTCATTGGCTTTGTGGGTCAGGAGGTGGCTGGGGTTCTGGATTTAGGGATCCTAGTCACTTCTGTTTCCCTCTTCCTCCTATCCCAGAATTGGGTCTGCATTTGTTGTCAGTGTTTATTTGAGTAAGAGGTTGGGTCTGAGTGTTTAATTAGGTGCCAGGGTACCCAGGGTGGAGAGCTAAGATTTGTCAGAAATTCTTCTTAGGTCCTCAGAGCTGTGACCTGAATGCACAAAGCCCAGCATTCTAATAATCACAGGATGCAAAACTGCCAGAGTGATGAGGAAATACTGGAGCCCTGGATTTCTGGGATCAGCCCTAGGCTAAGAGAGTAACCCGGTGCTGTAGAAATACAGGATCTACTGGGACCTTTCTCACTAAGTGTCTTAGGAGAGAGTCTAAGCATGGATGTTTTAGCCCTCACACTAGGACTTGGATTAATGGTTTACCCAAAAAGAGGAGGAGGAGTAGTTAAATTTTGAACCATCAAAGAATTCTCTGTGGCCCTGGCTCCCCAGTGCTATAAGGCCTGCAGAGAAGCCACTAAACCATAGCATCTAGCCCCTCCTTCTGGAAAGGGAAAAGGTGTGGGAGGGGGAGAGGAGGGAAGTGTCTTTTTTTTTTAAGTTCCTTTGAAGAGATTTAAGAACCTAAAACTCAGCCCCTAGGAGCTGCCTAGGCCTGGGAAAAGATCAAAGTTGCCTCCAGTTGGATAATGCTTGGTTATTAGTTTGACACAATCATCTTCCCACTCTCCTGTGTTTCCCTCTCTCCTTTCCCACCCTTCCCTGTACCCCCAAATCTCACACACAAACACAGAGACAGAAACAAACACAGCCCAGCATTTGCTGGAAGCAAACACTTCTGGAACACAGCTCTCCCACTCATTCCTCCACCCAGCCTTTCAGGGAAACCGATGGAATGAGCAAAAAAAAAAATTACAATTTCGGGGGTGGGGAGGGGCTGTCTCTACCTGATTTCTTTAGGGGCTTGTCTCCTAGTTTGTTATGAGATGGTTCCTCATTCCAGCTGTATAACTGGGGGTTGGAAGTTGGTCATGCTTTGGTCCTACACATTCTCCCTTAGGTTCATCACCCCCTCAACTGCCCAAGTCTCTCCCTATACACTAGGCCAGTGGAGTGTCTGCCTCTGGACCCTGTGACACCTTCTTTGAGCCAGACTGACAGACTGATGGTGTGTTCTTGTGGGTAGGTATTGTGTCTTCTGTTCAGGGTACCCAGGACAGGCTAGTGTGGTGGTTAGAGTGCTGGACAGGAAGTGCTATCAGGAAGTCCTGGGTCCAAATCCAGCCTCAGGCCCTTACCAGCTATGTAACCCTAATTAAGTCATTTCTCTGAGTCTTGCTTGCCTCATCTCTAAAATGGGGATGAGAATAATAACACCTACCTCATAGAGATAATATATGTAAAACCCTAGGAAAGAGTCATAAATGTAATCTATTATTTTCTTGTTCCTTTCACGGTCTGGATCTCTTCTGCTGTAGTCAGTCAGAAAGTTCCTTCTGCTGGATAGCCATCCCACCTGCCTTGCATTAATTACAGGCTGTTTGTCTTCTGTTCTTTCCTCCATGAAGATGGAGAGTGTGGTTCACTATCATGTAATTCAGGTAACAGCTGAAGATGCTTAGACCCCCATTCCCGGTTCTTTCTGCCTCTGCCAGACCCCTGGGGGTTCCACTTTCTCCAGTTGCAACATGGAGTGACACTTTCTCCCTGCTTCTCCACTGCTCCCCAACTCCCAAAAAAGCTTGTATCTCAGGTAGTGACTTCTTTGAGTACCACGGTCAATTTAGAGATAAGGTTCCACCTCCTCTCAACCTGGATTCATTTCAGTGAATGTCTTTCCACTCTGCATTCTTTTCTTTTTAACTGTTACATCACCCAGCTTCAAGTACTTTATTCATTGCTCAAACAATGTCGACCGAGTGCCTGGTTCCATTGTTAACTGCAGCAGAGGGGATGCAAGTTAGACACCCAAAAGACTTCCTTGAAGTTAGAAATGGTGAGGATAACACTGAAAGGGTGCTTGAAAACGAAGATACATGTTGACACCAGGGCTAGAGAACTATCCTTCTCTGAGAGGGGTGAATGAAATGACCTACTCTCTTCCTGATGTTCTTCCCCACCCCACCCCCAAAAGTGTTTGACAACCCAGATCTATTTCAGAGCCTCCTATCTATGCTCAGCGGAAACAGCAATGTGACATGATATGATCTCATTCTGAAGCTAAATAAAGCCATTGTGTGAGACCCAGCCCTGGCTATTACTCCCTTGTTCCATTTCCTAAGCTCAGGAGGGGTTGAGGGAGAGTCTTTGGAAGGAAGGAAGATCAAGAAACAGAAAAGGAAATACAGCCGGGAGGCCAGGGTTTGGGGAAGAGAACACCAAGGAGGAATTAACCAAGAGCTGGTATTGTGGGGGAGGCAGCCAGACCCCAGTCCCTTGAAGAGCAGAGTGAGGCACCTAAGTTACAGCACTGGGACAAAAGAAAGGATTTTCTGGGAGTGGAATGAAGAGGCTTTCACATCACAGGTTCTTGAGAAATGCCTAACTGGGCTTCAGTTTCTTCCTCTGCAAAATGATACTATTGGTCAATATGATCTCTAAAATTCATTCCAGCTCTAAATCCTGTGTCTCTGTGTCATGAGGGAGGAGGAACTTTTGGGGATTCCATCTTCATAGAGGCTAGAATGAGAGCAGAGGGAGGGGGAACTGGAAGGCCTTCCACTGGATAGACCTACATGGTACTGACACCAGGGAAGTGGCGGCTTTGGGAGGAAGAGAGATGGGAACTCCATGATATCAGGATCAGGGACTGTGGCTGGAGGGTGAGGAGACCAGGTGGTTTGTCTCCAGGAAGGGAGAGAAAACAGGAAAAGACTTTAGTTCATTTCCTTCTGCTTGCCATGCGCCTTCCTATTTTAATTCTAGATGAAGACCTGTGGGGTGGAGGGGAGGAAAAGCAGATGCGAGAGACAGGGCTGGTGGTTGTTCAGTTATTTCCAGTTCTTCATGACCCTTTTGGGGTTTTCTTGGCAGAGATACTGGAGTGGTTTGCAATTTTCTTCTCCAGCTCATTTTACAGATGAGGAAACTGAGGCAAACAGGGTTAAGTGACTTGCCCAAGGTTACATAGTAAGTGTCTGAGGCCAGATTTGAACTGCAGTCTTCCTAACTCCTGGCCTAGCACTTTATTTATTTCACCACCTAGCTGCCTAGAGATACTCATTTGGATGGTCATCTAGAGATAACAAAGCTCCTGTTCTCTCCTCATTTGCCTCTTCCTCTCCAGTCCCTCTCTAGTTCCTGTCCCTTTTCCCTCATCCGTAGTTTCACACAGTTTTGTATCTACCTTTTCCTGGAAAGTGCCTAGTTGGCAGAGAATCTTGCCCTGACCCCAGAGCTATTCACCATCTTTCCCACTCCCTTCCGACATAGCTCTCCTGGCTGCCAACATGATCGGGTGCCAGCTTGTACAGATGGCATCAGGCCCAGGTGTAGAGAAGGAAGAAAGGCCCTTTTGGTGGCTGGCTGCACATTAGCCTCCTACTTGGCATGAAAAGGGCATGGATGGGCACAGTGGCTGCACCCAGTTTCTTTTTCCATCCCTGGGCACCACAGGTCAGGAACTAAGACTTATCAGCTGCAGAAGTCTAAGGGCCTGATTCCCTGTCTGCCTTAGGTGGTAAAGGGTCATAAGGTTGGTGACTGGCCAAGAATCTTCTTTTCTGTTAGCTTCTGCATGTGGCCAAGGATAGTGGGCAGATTTGGGTTGGGAGGGAGGGAAAATAGATGACAGGAAGAATTTTTTAACGTTCGGGAGATCCCTGGGGTAACTGATGGGCTTGGGAGAAGCTTATGCCCCACCTTCATACCCCTGCCCTTGGTGAACCTGGCAGAGGGAATGACCCAGACATCCTGCCTTTCAGCTCCTCATGGCTACTCCTAAAATCTCACGGGGTAATGAGGTGTAATCCTTAGAGAAGTGGTCCCTGGAAGCTCAGATGCCTGTATCTCCATCACAATGCTCAAACTGTGGACTAGGTATATGGCATTGGTCTGGTGGATTGGCTGGCATCGCTTCATGGATTGGGACTTTATCACCCTCAAATTGGTCTGGTGGATTGGCTGGCATCGCTTCATGGATTGGGACTTTATCACCCTCAATGTGAAGAGTCCTTGGAGAGTTCGTGGATCTTTGATATACTCCAGCATGAGCACTGGTGCTGAAGTGCCTGCCTCCAAGAAGGTGATGTGGGCCCATTTGCCACTTTGCCACCCATCTCTATGCCACATCACCTGGATTATATTCCATCCCTTTTGCACAATAGCTCTGGAAACAGTATTCATATCAATACTACCTTTCCTGGAAAGGACATGTCAATCATTTGCCCTGTGGCTTCGATCATCCTTCCCTCTTATTTCTAAAATATGCTTTTCTGGCTACCATTCCCCTATATGTAATATCTTCCCTCTGTTAGAGTGTAAACTCCTTGAGGACAGGTATTGACCTACTTGTCTGTATTTATATGTAATGTCTGATACATAGTAAGCCATTAATGCTTTTTCATTCCTTTGTTTGAGAGAGGGTGTAGTTGATAAGGTGAGAGAAGTCTTTGTCTCAAGGGAGGAGAAACCAAAGGTGGTTGGTATAACTGGAAACGCTGCCTTAAAAAAAAAAAAGCAAATATGAAAGATATTTAGGAAGCTAGCCTGGAAGGATGAGAGTTGCTCCTCCTTATCCCCAGTGCAGGATGCCCTTAAAGTAGAGGACCCAAGTCTGCCTCCCCCCAGCTTCTCCTTGTCTTCTGCCTAGGCCAGCCTATCTGACACTTCCATGAATGAGGAAATCCCAGAGGCCTTGCAGGCAGGAGGAGACCCAGCACCCCAAAGAAGAACTCGGAGATGCCTGTCAGCTGGGGAACCCAGCAGGCAGTTTCGGGAAGAAGAGGAGGAAGAGGAAAATGGCTTCCAGCCAGTGCCCCTCCGAAGACCAAAAGCCTATCGTGCCCGAAACTATATTTGTGACCCTCTCAGACGTCACAGTTGGGAGCCTGGTAGTGTATTTCAGGATGCTGCCAGTGATCCACTGGGAGGGTAAGCCCCCAAGGGACCCAAGTACTCTGTTTCCCCACCTATCTTTTCAGAATCCCTAGACTTAGAAGAAGATAGAATAGTGAGAAGAACTAAGTTGCCTTGGCACTTTAATCACCTGCATACAGATGCCCTCAGATTTGGGAGATCAGTAAGGATGGGGGAGTCTGAGACCTCTAGTCTAAGGGACTTAGATGGACAAAACTCAGGTATCTAATTCAGAACCTCTTTTGGACTCTGGGAGTTCCTGTCTATGGTCTTAGAGATAGATCTCTCTTAGTAGCCCTAACTTCCTCCAATAATCCTTTCTTCTTGCTTTTTGGAGGAAAACCGAAGGAGAAGAGAACAGGATTCCCTTTCTTAGCTATTCTCTGTCAGTGTTGGGTTCCATCCCTCTCTTCAGCTGCTGTTATTTCCCTCACTTCCTAAGCCTGACATACATCTTTAATCTTGAATTTCACAGAATCATGGACAATGCCAGGAGAAACTTTATAGTTTATCTGGTCTAACTCCTTTAATTTTTCAGATGAAAAAACAGGGGAAGAGAGAGGTTAAATTGTTTGGGAGCTTTCTAGAGAGAGTTGAGCATAGTACCTCCTATCCCACATTCAGGAATATGCCAGCCCACTGATTTCACTCTGAGGCTAGCACAAAAGTAACTTCTCAATAACTTTAAATCTAGTGGAATAAACTTGCATTTTGATTGAATAAATTCTCAGCTTTTTGGGTATTCTAAGGAGTTATATGGGTAAAGGGAACAGTCTACATACCCCCAGAGCTGGGCACAGGTAGACAGATGGAGGCATCTCCCCTGGAAAATCTCCAACCATTTCTCCAAAGACAGAAGAAGTCAGGAGTAAAGATCCAGGGTCAGATTGAAACAGAGTAAGTGGTGAATGTAGGGACCTGCCATTCAAGAATAGGCATATTTCCTCTGGCCCTGATCTCTTGGCTTTGGTTAAGTATACCTATCTCCTGCTGCTAGATTAGACTGAGTTTGGAGAGAGAGATACCTAACTTGTGTCACTGTGCTAAGCTGAGTGGGAGAGGAGGGTGAGGGGAACCAAGCATATCTCCAGCATCTAGGAACTGAGAAAGCATAGTACCTCCCCAGCTGATGTGATATTCCCCTTCATTGCTCTACAGTCATCATCGTGCCTCATCCAAAGTTACTTCTCTACATAGGGCAGAGTGTAAGGCAATCAGGGAGGCAGGTTTGGAGGTAATAGCCTAGAGAAAAAACTGGAGGTGGCATGAAGTAGGGAGACCCAGTTACCAGCACCATCCTCCCTCCCTCGCTTCCTCGCCCTCTCTTTCTTCTGGGACAGAGCTCAGTCTTGGCCAGCAGGGGCCGCCCTTATCTGCTATTTGCTTGGGAGAAGGCACCAAATGGAGAGGCCTGCCTAGGCCGGCCTGTGTTCCCTGCCACGGATATGAGACAGAAGAGTCTAGCCAGGGATTAACTGGGGCGGTGCTGGTCCTGGTCTAGTCCCTTGCCTTTTTTTCCGTCCGCTTACACATTACTCCCTCCCCTGTATTCCTGGCCTCCTTGATGCTACTTACACAAGATGGTTGCTTTACTGTATGTAAGCTCTTGTAGTTCCTGCCTCCACCCCTTCCTTGGGTCTAGAATGTTCCCTCTCTCCTCACTTTTCCCTCTTGGAATCCCTGGCTTCCTTCAAAACTCAGTTCAAGCTCCACCTTCTACAGTCGGCCTTTTCTGGGCTATCCCCTTCTCCATCTTCTCTGTAACCATCTTTTATATACTAAATAGTTTCTTGTCTCCTCCACTAGAATGTAAGCTCCTTGAGGGCAGTTTTTTGCTTTTTCTTTCGTATTCCTAGTGCTTAGCACATAATAAGACCGTAATAAATGCTTGTTTATTGATCTGGTGCTTGTCGATATCTCTCCAAGTGCTGTGTGTGCACGGTGCTAAGGGACATTGTTAGTGAAGTGAATGTGTGTTTCAGCAGGAACCTGCAAAAACTGGGGCCCAGGGACCCCCGGAGAATTCCCTTACTGCAAAGTCAGGAGGAGCTGGAGACACTTCTGAGGCTGCAGGACCAGAGTGCCCAACCCCAATACCTGGTATGCATAGACTCCTTTCCCCATGGGCACTGGGCACTTACCCCCCAAACTACTGCACAGTCTCACTGTTCCCCACTCCACTTCTCCAAACACATTGTTTATCTTATACCTTTCTGGGCTTTTGTTGTGCCCATTTGTCTCCCTCTACCTTGTTTCTACATCTCTTTATCTAATAGGGATTGAGTATTTAAGGCTAGATAGTAGTTTAGAGGTTTTTGAGTCTAGCCCCTCATTTTATAGATAGAGTAAGTGAGTCCCTGAAAGGTTAAGTCACCTGCCCAAGGTCACATCTAATAAGTAGCAGGTCTGGGATTCTTACCCATGTCAGAACTAACTCCAAATCCAGTGCTCTTTCCATTCCATTACACTTCCACCCCCACCCCCATCCCAGCCATTTTCTGTATCCTTCTCTGTCCTGTCTATTTTCTGTGTCTTTCTGGGCCTCTATGCTTCCTGTCTGTGTATGAGTCTCTCTATCATTGTCTGATTTCATCTACTGATTGCTCTAATCTTTTGCTTCCTAAGTTACCCACAATTTGAAGGGTGAGGAACTTCTCCAAAATAGATAGATGTGTTTTATTCCCAGAGGTATGAAATAGGCCCCCCCTTTTTTTGGCCCTTTGAACTGTGGACCCCCAAGTCCCCTCATTGGTTTTGAAGCAAACTCCTTCCTTCTTAAGTATGAGTTCACTTTATAAGTATGTAGGTAAGCCTAGGTATCTGGGACTCTGATAAACAATAGTAGTTAAAATAGTAGTGGTCCACTAGGTAGGGAGTCCCTATCATTTCTGCCACCTCTGTTTGGCCAGTGTACCTAGAATCTTTCCTGTCCTGTCCTCCCCCACCTCAGCTCTTCAGTAACCCAGTGTTTGGGAATTAGAGAAATAGTCTAGCTCACTGAGGGTCTCCTCATCAAGACAATATGCTTAATTTGTTGGAAACCTAAATCAGGGAAGAGGGGGGAGGGTAACCAGCTCCAGGAAAACCTGGTTGCATTTTCTACATCAGAATCTTTGGTTGCTGCAACCATTGGTACCTCATCCAGTCTGGGGTCCAAGTGCCCCATCCTCGTAACTTTTCTGCCCCTCCTCCCCAATCCAGGCCTGGGGATACCTAGGTCTTTTCCAAAGCCTTGTTATAGTTTATCTCCCAAACAGCCAAAGGGTAATCTAGCCTTGCTTTCATTTGTAAAAGGAAGCCATGGCTAAGGAGGGTAGACCTACTTGCCTCCACCAGTGTTTGAGTACATATTCCTTATTTTCATCTCTCATCCTTTTTACTCCCTTTCCTTCCTTCTTCCCTCTCCTTTTTCTCCTTTGTTCTCCTTACCATCTTTCTCTCTTCTTCCCATTTCTCTTTCTTCATTCCTTTTTTTAAAAGCTGTCCTCCACTTTTCCTCATTTTCTTTCTATAGGATCCTCTTCCCCATATCCTACCTTTCCAAGCATTCTGTCTCATCTCCTCTTTTCTGCATTTTCTCCCCTGTTTTCTACCTAATTAAATTAGTGCCATTTGTCTCATTGATTCTAATAAGGTTCCCTCCTTCTACCCCAAATCAGACTAGGTAATCCAGTCAGATTGAGTGATTCATAAGATTATTCACTTTACCAGAGCTGTCTATACACCAGATCAGATTGAGAAATACAAGACTAGGCCATTCAGAATAGTATGTTTTCTTCTTAAAGATCTCCTATGTTAAGAATGCTTGAAGGCATTGCATCTGGAAGGGAACAGGATGGGATGCAATAATAATTTTCCAACCATCTAAAGTGAAAGATCCTAAGTGGGTAGGCAAGGAAAGGGTAGCATCTATTTGGGAGGCCCACATTTAGAAAGGAATCAAATGATGTAAAGTGGGGAGAGTTTGGTAGAAAGTGAACTCAATAACCTCTTGGGGGTGGTGGGGATGTTGGGCTGATTATAGGTTCAGAGTTCCCACCATCCATCCTCTGGTCCCTTGAATGCTGCCTGTGGCATCCTCTCCAAATCTGTATCCATGAGCGGTATTGATGGCTACTTGGATCTAGATGGTGATGGTGAGTAAGGGGTAAGGGGGTAGACAGAGAACAATGGATGTATCCCCTTCTTCCCGGAAGTATTGGGACCAGATTGAACTGTTTTATTGAGTCAGGGACTCTAGGTGGGACTAGGAAGGTATGCTGGCTTTTCATTACAACTTGGTCTATGCCTAACCACATTCCTTTTGGAGACCCCCCCCAAATTCCTATTCAAAATGAGGGTGAACATGTCCATCTTCCTGGCTTTTTCTTTCATCAAAAACCAGGGATTCAGGACACAAGCATCTGGAGCTCCAGCCTATATCTTCCCTATAGGTAGAAGACAATCCTCAATTCCCCTTCTATCCAAGATGGGGAATTAGATCCTCAGCATCCATTCACTCCCCATTTACCAGAAACAAAGTCAAGAACCTAGATATTGGGTCCCCAGCGTCCTTTTAGTTTTCCTAGGTGTTCTAATTTAGGTCTCAGGCCTATTTTTTTTTTTTATTTTGCTCAGACTCCACCCTCACCCTCCCTCCAGGAAGTCCCCAGTGCCCGCCCTGGGGATGGAGTCATAGGCACCTGTAGCCCTGGGAACCTGATCCAAGGTGTAGAGAGGGGGAAGGGAGTAGCTGTAGGTGCCTTTGTCTGGCTTTAGCCAGACATATCTTGTCTCCTTTTGTGTTGGCAGAGAATTTACCCCGATCTCCTGATCCTGACTTCAGCAACGGGTGAGTGTAGAGCTCAACAAAACCCTCAAATCTGAAGGTGCGTCAACCAAAGGGGTTAGGGGTGGTGGGCTTTGTGACCTTCAGGGGTCACTTTGTTTTCGGAAACACTGTTCCCCAGCCAACACTCCTTCCACTTCTAATGCTTGTAATTCTCCAAGCACCCTAGAAACTCCTTTCTCTTTGGAAGGTTTGGAATTTGACTCATTCTTCCCTGGGAGATGAAGACAGGAGGCTTAGGTGATTCCCAGTGTCACTACTGCATGGAGGAGAAATTAGGAAGGGAGTGTCCAGGATACAGGGATAAGGTTCGAGGTGGGAAGGCCAGCAACAAAAGGCTAGGGGATGGAAAATGGCTGGGAAAGCTAGCTTTTAGGGAGGGAGAGCAGGCAGAGCCAGTGACCTTGGAGCACCGGTCAGACATTAAGGGACTCAGATAATTGGCAAATGAGATGGGGCAAGAGTTGGGAAGGCAGTGGATACAGGAAAGGAACAGGACTAGGTTGGGGCTGAGGGAATAGTAGAGGAGAAGGGAGGGGGCTAGAGGCCACACAGGGTGAGAAAACCTTGTGCTGGAAGATTTCAATAAGTATCATGTAAATGAGCATGCAAATCAGCACCTGTTTGAATCCCACAGCTGTGGCCTGTTTAGTAGGACAGCATTGTAAAGGGGCCCTTTAAAACGCTAAGTTCTGCTTTTGGGTCCCTTAAGTCCTCAGCTGACACAGCCCCCTCCTGGCTTCGAGCTTTGGAATTAGCTCATGGGATAGGGCTGATGAAATCCCAGGAAACTCAGCTCTGACTGGCAGTGAGCCCAGGGACCATTCTCAAACAGAGAAGGGGGGGGGCAGGTATAGGTCACCCAGTGTTCCCTAACCACTGAGGTTGGCAACAGGAAAAACATGGCCCCTGAGGTGCCCAAATTCCATACTGCTTCCATTTGGGGTCTGCATGGGGTCAAGAGAAGCCAAGCCCTGATCCTTAACCTCTCCGGAGGATGGGGGGAGTCTCTGGTTAACTGGGAGGAGCTTGGAGCCACCCTCTGGAATAGAGGGATAAAATAAACCAGAGCTGGGAGGTCCAGACAACTGGAAGGGGAGGGAAGAGGTTGGTATCTGTTTCTCTGAGGTTTTTTCTCTGACTCTTCTCTCTTTCTCACTGTTTCTAACCCACTCTCTGGGTGTCTTCATCTCTTGTATCTCTCTCTGTCTCTGTCTCTCTCTCCAACATGATGTCTCTAGTCTCTCTCTCTGTTAGCTTTCTTGGGGTGGCTTTGTTCCTTCCATCCTGTCTCTGTCTCCAATTCTGTCTCTTTATTTCTTCAGTCTCTGGGGAGGCAGCTGCAGCCAACTGGACGTACAGCTCTCAGGAAAACGGGCGGGCCACTCCCTTCAACGGACCCTCAGCCTCCTTTGGGGCATGACGGGCAAGGCCAAGGTAGGAGCCAGTGGGGACCCAGGTCTTCACCTTTGTTTTTCTTCCCCTCTCCCTTCAATTCCTATCCCTGTAAACAGAGACTTTGGATCTGGCTCAGTCTTGAAGAAGGAGCCAGAGAAGCTCCCTTTCCCAACAACTCATTTCTCTTCTGTTCCCACCCAGTCTACTATCCCCCAGCTGTTCCTCCCCCTCAGCTGCCAGCTGTGGGCAGCTGGATTCAGGGAAAGGCAAAGCTCCACAAGCTTAAAATTGATATGGCTCTTCTCCCTTCCCCTTTTCCCCATATAGCTGAGGATGGGCAGGAAAAGTCTTAAGCCCTGCTTGGGCAGATACCACAAGTGGAAGAAGTGAGGTGGTGCTAGACCCTGAACAGAACTTCTTGTATGCATGTGTACATATACTTGTGGCTCTTTGCAATCCCACATCCCACGTTGATTTAGATTCAGATGCATACTTTCCAGTTGTATGTATTGCAGAGAGTTGAGGGTGGTATGGTTCTAAATGGAAGGGGAAGAAGCCCGACTGTTGCCATTTGTTCATCTCTAGATGCCTTCCAACCACATCTGCCATAGGAGAACCTTCTCTGTAGCTCTTTTAGCCAGGGCACCCCCTTGTTCCTGGACTAGTTGGGAGGGAAAGTAAAGATGAGAAAATGATTGTGTTAGCATCTTCTCACCTGAGGGCTGTGGGTAGGTTAAGGCTGAAAGAGGGAAGAAAACACAAGGACAGAGGAAGAGAAACAATCAGGGAATATGAAAACCTTTAAGAGAAGAGGTCTTCTCTCCCCTCTTAGGAAATGCAAACCTCTGGAGAATGAAAACAAGAATCCCAAGATCCTAAGGTCCCTGTCTCCTCTTCCTGGGGGGCTCAGAGACAGGCAGATAAGTTCTAGACAATGGAATTCCTCTCTTCCTACAAGATGGGGTTTGGCCAAGGAAACTGGCCCTACCCAGCCTTGGATCTGAAAAGGCTAGTCCTGATAAAGCAGAGGTTGTTTAGGGCCCCTGGTGTTCAGGTGGGAATAGAAAAGCTTTTAGAGTTAAGTGTGGGGAATTTTTGCCACCCAGTGTCTCCTCCCCCATACTCACTGTTTCTAGCTCTCAGTAGCCCTCTGGACTCTTTTTCTGGCTTACTCCTTATGACTCTTTATCTTTTTCCTGTCTAAGCTCTGTCTCTTCCTCTGTCTCTTTTTCATTGCATATATCTTTTGTCTGTATCTACTTTGCCTCCCTTTCACACCTTATCTCTGCTTTTCTCCCTTCCTGTCCTGGTTCAGTGGAGGAGATCATAGGGCAGGGAAAGAACCTTCTATGTCCTCCAGGAGATGAAGTCCTACGAAGCATAAAGAGAAAGATGTGCCTTTCACAAGGGAATGTTTCAGAATTGCATTGGTAGCAGTAATTATACTTTCCTCCTCCTTAAATATTCGAGGGCTAGGACAAAGCCAAGGAGGTGAGGGAGCCTTTGATGTCCCTCTTTTCAGCCCTAGCCTGCCCCCCAGATCTCTCATCTTGTTGCTGAACCTTGTGAGATTCACCTCCTGAGATGTCATGTGGTGTAAGACCCACATCACTCCCTGTTTCAATGCTGGGTCAGAAAGGAGAGCGTTAGAAGTCTCTCTATTCCTTTTGTTGCCTCTTCTGTCAGCTTTTCTTCTCCCAAGGATCTCCAATCACCTAGTAAGCTTCTCCACTGAAGAAATCTGAAGCACTGTTGTCTACTTTCCCCTGGGTCTCATTTATACCATATGTTCTCTGCTTAACCCATGCCTTAGCTCCTTTCCCCTATCCCTTAGCAAGGGTCAATGTAAAAGGGGCAGAGCCAACCATCCACACTGCCCAACTGCTCACATGGCTTAGGACCAGGTGTCGCCAAGTATTCAGATCCTCTTTTCCCTATTCTCCAAGAAGAAAAAGAATGTTTCTCATGTTGGATGGGATAAAGAAAGTAGTGACTATTTTGGGTCTGGTAGGACAACAGATCTAAAGCTCCTTATTTTATAGATAAGGAAACTGGAGCTGGCCAAGTCACACAAGTAGTAAATGTTAGAGGCAGGACATGACCCAAGGTCCTCTGACTCCAGCACCTTCTTCCTACTGTACGGGGAGCTGTGGCATTTGAACAATATCATTTCATCTGAGATGGGTCACTGGCTAGGCTGGGAGTGGTGGGATTGATTTCCCAGTGTCTAGGTGATAAGCATGGGCTGGGAGGCAGTGAGGGAGAAAGAGCAGGGACGAAACCATATCCATGGCTCACCTTTGTGGCCACAGTACAGGTTTTTAATAAGGCTGAGTCCTTTGGATTTCATGTAGATTGCCTCACCTTCCCTTCCTCTGTCTCCACGAGAGATCATGGACGGACACTGCCCTGTGTGGGATGGAGTTTCAGGGTGGGAGACAGAAATGAGTGGGACCTTCATTTTCCCCATGTCTGCTCTGAGTTTAGAGGCCAAGGGTGAGAAGGGGCTTACTAATTTCTAGGGCTTATTTAGGATTAGGGTTCAGATTTCTGTTCAGGTACATTTGGGAAAGTCTGTGTAAATCTGTTCTTCAGTTATAGGTTGGCAGCCTCAGAGCCTGCCCAATTCTGTGGAGGAGACTCAGAGCCATAACCTGTCCCCTCCTCTGGGCCCCTCAGAGGGCGGAGCAAGGGAGGGGAAAGAGGAGCTGGTTGACTCTGGCCTCTTGCAAGCTGTTTTTAAATTTAGCTCATTCGTCAGGCTTGGCTGCCTTTTGGGGGGGGATGGAGTCCGGGCGCCTGGGTCGAGGTGATAGAAGGGGTTATTGTCCCATTTTTGCTGGTCCTTCCTCTAGGTTCAGGCCAGGAAAGGGGAAAAAAAACAAGCATTTATTAAGCATCTACTATATATCAGGCACTGCTACATGCTCGGGAAATAAAGAAAGGTAAAGACAGTCCCTGCTCTCAAGAAGCTCACAGTCTAATGGGGGAGGCAACACGCACACAACTATGTACAAAGCTAGATGCAAGATACCATGGAGATACAACAGAGGGATGGCACCAGCATTAAGGGGAGGCTTCTTGAGGAGAGTGGGGTTTTAGCTGGGACTTGAAGGAAGCCAGATATCAGAGATGAGGAAGAAGAGAGTTCCAGGCATGGAAGATGGCCAGTGAAAATGCCTGGTGGTGGGAGCCTTATTAGCTGTGTGACCCTGAGCAAGTCACTTAATCCCTGTTTGTCTCAGTTTCTTCACCTGTAAAATGGGGATAATAATATTTGAGGATCAAATGAGATGATATTTGGGTTTGTTTTTGTTTTGGGGGAAACGAGGCAATTGGGGTTAAGTGACTTGCCCAGGGTCATACACCGCTAGTAAGTATGGACACTCAAGTGTCTGGTGTGAGACTGGATTTGAACTCAGGTCCTCCTGACTCCAGGGCCGGTGCTCTATCCATTGCGCCACTCAGCTACCCCAAGATGATATCTGGAAAGCATTTAGCACAATGCCTGGCACATAGCAGGCCCTATAGAAATGCTTATCTCCCCTCAATAACACTTAGGGGAAGTCAGGAAAGGCCTTTGGTAGGAGGAGACACTTGAGCTGAGCCTTGACTGGAACTCCAAAACTGGATGTGTGAAGGGTTTTAAATACCAACCAGAGCAGTCTGTATTTTATCCTAGAGGCAAGATAGGTAGGAGTCACTGAAACATCTGGAGCAGGGAATTGACATGTGGATGAGACTGATGCCTTGGAAGGATCCCTGGGCAGCTGTGTGGAGGATGCGAAGAGGGCATGACAGGCTGCAGAGAAGCACTTGAGGGGGAAGGCCCAGAGACAGAACAGAGTGGATGGCAATCAGAGCTATTGCCCAGGTCCACTGTGGAGGTGGGGAGGGCCTGAATAAATGGTAGCTGTGTGAACAGAGAGGAGGAGACAGGTGTGAGGGAGGCTACTGAGGCAGAATCAGCAAGTCTTGACAACTGTGACTAGATGTCAGGAGTTGAGAGGGCAAAGAGTTAAGAATTGTTGTACCCTTGACAGAAATAGGGAGGTCAGGGGTTGATTTAGGGGTGGGAATAAGGCGATTTCAATTTTGGCCAGGTTGAGTTCTCAATATCTACAGGCCCTACCAGTGGTGTGGTACTAGAGTTCAGGGGAGAGATAAGGGATGGATATGTGGGTCTGAGTGTCATCTGCATAATAACTGAATCTATAAGAGCACTGAAACCAAACGTAGTGGGTGGGACTGGGATAGATGATCCTGCTAAGGTGCTTAGAAAAAAACATCACAGAGAGAAGTGGAACCAGGAAAGAGCAAAAACCTTGGAGGAGGGAGTGGGCAGTAGTGTCAAAGGCTTGGTGGAGGTCAAGAAGGATAAAGACTGAGAAAAGGCCCTTGGATTTGGAAATAGAGATAATCAGTGACCCTGGGAAAGTGGTTGCTAGAGAGGAGAAAACACACTGATGGTGTGGGGGGAGGCCAAGCCAAACCCAGCCAATGAAAAGATGAAGGTTCCCAAAATAGTGGCAGGAGCTAAAACTGGGCACCTAGAAGAATGCTGAGTTGGATGGGGGAGGCGGGAAAAGAGAGCAGCTAGCTGTTGGGCCAGGTTGTCCCCCCTTTAACACATGCCACACCCTCATGGACCAGAACCAGGCCAATCCCCAGCACAGATGGTATACAATTGCCTTTTCTTGGCTTCTCCAGAAGAGTGGGACCTGCTGAGCAGCAGTCACAGGCTGCAAGGTGAGGGATTGAGCTTAGATTCAAAGAGTATTTTTCCTAAAAGCAAAAGAATTCCTCAGGAAGAATCTCTCAAAGGTGAGGAGTGTTTAGCCACAAAGAACAAATTTAAGTGTTTACTATGGACCAGGTACTGTGCTAAATGCTGAGGATACAAAGAAGAACAAAAAACACCCTCCCATTCCTGGGCCTGCCCGGGAAGGGAAAAGTGACGGGAAGAGAGCAGTCTTTGCTCATAGTTTTAAACACAAGACTTAATTAAACTACAGCAGGAGCGGTGGGACTTAAATTGA